CGCTTATGTAGTATGTTACCATATTTGGGACTCTCTGCTCGTGTACTATAGCTATGCTTCCGGACTCTTCTGGTACTGTCTAGGACAATCCGTACTACTCCAGAACGGTCTAGACAGGTCTATGCCTTACTCATCTCTTACTCATCCTATGGTGCGATACGTCGCAATTCTTTCGTCATTGTATTATTCATCGCACTATGGTACATGTGACTAACCACTCTTCGATTAGTCATGGACACTTCACTGTAGTATATAAGGACTTCAGATTGCGTCCTCCCTCTTCAGTCTTTCCTTACTGACTGAAGAGTGAGTACTTCGTTACATCTATCTCTAACTTGTAGTTACTTACTTGACCTTTGTAGTCTTGCTTCGACTCTAGGTACAGTTCGTTGCTGCAATATAGTCTTTCCTTACTGACTGAAGATCTTGCTTCGACTCTAGTCGGATCTAATCCTTGTCTTCACAGCCCCGAGTTTATCACTTCCATTCCCCCGGATATCCCAAGCACGGACTACCCCGTTCGAGTATCCGACAGCGAGGTGTGTACTCGAAGGACTGAATGCGGCCTTGTGGGGTGCATCGTCTCTGTCATATCCCAGGCGTCGGACCAGTCTGAGCGGCAGGTATGTGCCAGACACCACATCCCAAAGACGAACATCGTCATCAACGTGGCGCAGAAGCCAGCGGCTGTCAGGGGAGAACAGGGGCTCGAGCCATGATGTCTTGGGGCCGTCGAGTGGCAGCTGCTGGAATGTTCGTCTGTCCCAGAGTTGTATCGTGTTGTATTCGTCTCGGGATGCGATGTAAGCACCGTTGCTGGACCACGCGCAGCCGCTAGAGAGTGCTGTGTCACCTTTGAGGGCGGCCAATTGGTGTGCGCTGCGGCTAATACCCCACATATTCATCTTCCAATCCCTACCCGTGGACGCAAGGCGTCGACAGTCTGGTGAGAATGTAAGACTGAGGACCTGTTTGTGATGGGCAAACCACTCTTGCGAGATAGACGCATCTCGGGCATCCCAGAGGATGATCGTGGCATCAGAGGAGGCCGTCGCTACCCACTGCCCATCTGAGGAGATGACGAGTGCGGTGACCTTCGAGTCGTGCCCGGGTTTACCGGCTATGCATGCCAACACTCAACTCAAGATCACTGTCAGTGAGCGAACTAGACTCACAGTATCTGACGTCTTCTGTGAGCGCCCATTTCTCGCTTAGTGGACGGAAGTGCCTGCTGAACTCGTTTGACCAACAGATCGTCTTCCGCACATTCAGGACTGGGCCGCCGGGAACCGTCAATAGTACATGATGAGTGGGATACATAGCAAGGTCCTTCTCCAATGCTGCAAAGAGCTCCTGGTTGGAGCGTCGACGACATTGGTTGTATAGATGCCCAATGTCGGGATACCAGAGGACCAGAGTGACATCTCCTATCGACGTTTGTTGTGCTTCGCATAAGACTTTAACGGCATATTCGAGATCCCCTCCGTCAGCTGGTATCCACCATGTCAAGGAGGTCGGGCGATGTGCGTCTAAAAGAAGATGTAGCATAGATGACGATTCTGATTTGAGTTATATGAGGTCTACGATGACGAGATGGAAGGAAATACTGACGAGTACGTTTCCCATCTGAAAGTGCACTAGTGATCGCTGGCGGAGCTAACTGAGATATCAGATTTTTGATATGTCTGTCTACGCCTCGAAGTATCTAGAGGAAACCCAGGGAGTTAAAATCGAGGAGCACAGATGATCATCATAACGCTCACATTCAGCGTTCGCAGCTGTACTTGACCAGACATACCGTCTTGCCCCATAGTATACGAGTCCACTGAAAAGGGTTCGCATGTGAGATGTTCAACGCTCGGAAAGGCTGAGAGGAAGTGAAGGAAGGTGGATTGTGTTTAGAACGAAGCGCGGCGGATAGTGAGGCTCCGGAGGCTAATTGGGAATTGCATGCCGCAGAGTGGAGTGACGTCAGGTGGTCGAAGCACAAAATAGACGTTATTGAATTTGACACGACGGAGACTAGGGAGGATCGACAGCAGCGGAAGTGGAGAGATATCCTTCCATGGAAACGACAGAAATTGCACGATAGGCTGGAGGTGCGGCCTAGTCTGGACAGCATTGTGGAACCGAAGGAGCTGTTTCTAGCTCCGTATGTTGACATTAGTGAAGAGAATAGACTGGCTACGAGGACGGAGCTGGCTGCAGGTGAGAGCGAAGGCGCGCAGCGTGGCCTTGTCGCCGGAGCAGAGGTCGATGGCCCTCTCAATGACTTCCCATGGAAGCGCCGGGGAATGCACGAAGGATGAAACCGAGGGCGAGGGGGGCAGGATGTTCGGGGGTTCTTCCGTATTCCTAGGAGCCATGACTGGGATGGTCAGAGTGGCCGATGGGCTCCAGGGCGACGCAATGAGCGGGAGAGACTACATAGAGTCACTGAGGCTTGGGGCATCATGCACAATCAGATCAAATCAACATGTGTCATGTGATACCTGTCTCGAGGTCGGATTGGAGTAAGTGCAACGCCGACGAGCGGCAGAGCCAAATAGCACGGTGGAGACAATAGGACGATTCACGCGTGACTTTGGAAGGACGATGCATCTCGATTTCAACATGAGAACGGGGCAGGGGACAGTTAGAGTTTTGTTCTCAGCTAAACAGACGCGCATAAGCGGGCCGCCGCTCGGACCGGATCTTCGAACCGGTGTTCGCATTCAACTTGCAGCTTGCTTCGTCTGCCATAGCTGATTCGTGCCGCTGCCATCTTTCTGTCTGCTACCGTTGCCCATGAAGCCCAACAGGCCATGATATATGCTGTCCGTCATGGTTGCTGGTGGTGATGCACTGCTCTGGAAATGTCCTCCCACCTTACGGCTGAGCCTTCTTGCGCGATAGCGGCTTGTCACCCAACGCACCCTCCTATGTCTAGGTCAATCTCTGCATATGCTCGCTCTTGCCACTCATGCTAGGCGACCTCAAACCTCTCCTTGTGCTGGATATGCGCAGCAGGAACACAACCGCTCCGGTGGGGTTCCGGAGAGCGTATATGAACATGCTTGATCAAACCATGTGCAAGGCGAGTACTCATCTCTCCACCCAAGCCCTGGTTGTCTGACGAACCCGCCTTTTTCCTTCGCGGCCGTGGCTGCTCATAGCTCTCATAGGTACGTGTTTCGCGATTTCCAAACGCCATCTCCGCGTCTTCAGGAAATCTGCATTGTCCTCACGATATCGTCATTGTATCGCGCAGAGTTGCTCTGGTGCTCGCGCATTGGACCGGATGACTGTCAATGACTGATATCCTCTTCTGGGACGATGCTAGGTATCGTATACTGCAAATGTGAGTACTCATCCTTGTGTCCACGTCTGTCATCCTCTCCGAAAACACGAACATCATACCAAGTCAGGATCCCCTCCTTACAGCACTTCCCGCAGGGTACGGGCTGTCCACATCTTTCACCTCCCTTCCAACGATTCTCCCCGCACACGTTGCAAGACATTCGGAAGTGGCGTGATCGAGTATCGTGCGCTGCCTCGAGCGAGCCGCCGGTGAGTGTGTTCAGCTCAGTTTCCCTACAGCGATGTCTGGACCGTCCC